TCATTTTTCACAAGCTCAGACTTATTTCCTGGAAAAAAACATGAGAACTGTTCGAATCGATCCTCTCACAAACGGTCAATATGTTTCGGAATACCTGTCACAGTTTAGAGGATACGTGAGTGAATACGACGATGAACGTTGATGTGTTGTATAGGCTTGCGCTCGCTCGCTAACACAATTTAACATTTTCTGATTCCCCATGATATATAGTTTACGGAATCGGAATTTAAGACTTGCATCGATGCGTTGAATAAACCTTTTAAAGCATACAAGAGGAAAATTGTATCGATGTGGTCCATAATACTGTTATCGTTTATTACTTGTTACGTTATTCTTGGCATCTTTACAAAAGCTGCGGAAGGTTTAGACTTTTTCCTCTGGTTTTGTCTGGTCTTTACGGGATGGATGCTTGTTCCTATCCCTTTAATTTTTTTTAACTTGAAATGGATCAGACAGGTAATGATGTGATTGTAAATATATTATAAACCTTTGGAAATGATGTTAAGCGTTTGGTTGATTTATTCTGATTCGTAGAGAGAGCATGAAAGGGCTCAAATCATCGATAGTTTTGATGTCTCTGATCGACCCAAAGGCATTTCGTGGATATATACGAAAGAAATATACTCATTCGCTGCTCGTCGACAGGTAGGAATGAAAGCTACTTTTTGAATCATCATTTCAATACGGATCTATTTACGATAATCTTATCTTTGTTATTTATTAGTCAAACTTGGTCATCGAGTTGCCTGAGGGTTCTTCTATTCGTTACGATTTTAAATGTTAATATCAAATTGGTTTACGTAATTTAGTAAATAACCTCGGTTTTATATATTGTATTTACCTGTCACACGACATTTAATTGGCGCATTATCGTTATTAATAGCGCATCAGAAAATAGAATTGCTTAAATGACCCCTGTCAAGTTTGTGAAACAACGAGACTCACTCCTTATAAGGACTAATAAAAATCACAGACGTCAGATCCCGACTGCGACTTCGAAAAATAGCTTACTTACAACTACGGTCAACTATATAGCAAGTGAGTTGCTTCTACTAAAAAACTTGTTGAAAAGAATTTATAAACAAAAAAGTTCTGTTTTACTTTCTTTGTCGCTAAGATATGTTATTGTTATTCTCTGCCTTAACGAGACATGCATTGCTTATTATTGTGTCATATGGAGTTCATTGTGATACGGTGTTTCATTGAATATTTACTATAAATAAGAATTCTTTGAATGTATTTGAAACTAAAACACTTGTGCAGCGTTTATCAAGTAACAGTATCACAACATTGATAAACAAACTCTCGCAGTCGGTACCCGGATTTTCTATAACTTGACGGAGTTGTCGTCGAATGCGGATACTGCGTAAAGCCTATTCAATGCAATATTCCTGATTTCTAGAGCCTTCTCTATAGAAAAACGACAATGACATAAAAGCGCAGACTGGTGATAATCCCCTGACCTGCATATTAAAATGTACTTTGAATGGACAAATACATTCAGACCTAATTTGTCGAATACCAAAAACGTGCTTTTGTATGTCCCGATTTGATAAAGACAGAAGTCAATACATAAAGTAATGCATTTGTATGCATGTATTTTTTGTCGGTCCTTATCTACTTTGAAACTGCAATCAATGTGTCCAATACTATAAATACTCAAATGAATGGTAATGTCCATTATTTTATCTGTACGAGACGCTATAGTCACTGCTTTTATTAACTAGATTGCACGATAATGGCTAACTTTGAACGAATTTGCTAACAACGTTTTTGCGTTGAATGGAGAACTATTTGATCAAAAAAGAAAGGCAATACTCTTAATTTTTCTCTATAGGAAGGAACAATGACATCAAAGCATTAACCCGGCAATACTTTGCCTGATTTGCTAAATGAATTATTTATAG